GTTTTTCACTCTTTAATGTGCCTTCAACAGTGACCCATGTGATCTGTCTTTGCAACAGTTAAGTGCTGTCTGTTATTAAGAGGATGAGTTGCCCTTCGAGGGAAATGGGTGGTGCCCTGATGCTGGTGAAGTTTTGAGCCAAGGAAATGGGGCTGTCCTCCTCTGCTCTGGATCAGAACCTGATTACTTTTTATTCCCCATGTGCTGTATGACCCCTATGGGTTTATCTCATCCCCAAGAATATAATAATAATTATATTTGCAGTGGCTGGCAAAGTTTTTATATTACAAGTTCATTCCTTCTTTACATCTGTTGGTGCCTATGTGATAATTCCATTAAAATTTGGTTTTAATAGAAAAAAGTTAAGTGGAAATATTTTTCCATGAATATGTCTCTACTTATATGAGAGTTGTCTAAATGAGACTGTCATACTTTTATTTCATTTAGTAGCAACACTGAAAGTTATCATAGTCAGTGAGTTAGCAGCACCACTGTGAAAGTTATCATAGTGAATTAGCAGCAACACTGTGAAAGTCATCATAGTCACTGAGTTAGCAACACTGATAGTTATCAGTCACAGAGTTAGCAGCAACACTGTAAAAGTTATCATAGTCACTGAGTGGCAGATTACTGTATCAAACACTTCACTCTATGCTATTATTATCAGTTCATTCAGGAGGTAAATAAATGCAACATATTTGTTTATACATTTTGGGATTTCAGACACGTAACCATATACGTGTATACAAATAGGGTAAGTATACATGGGTTCATGAACTGTATCAAATAAGGCACATGTCAAAATTAGTCTTATTATTATGATTATCATAGGATTTTTTTTTTTTAAGAAATGAAACACTGCTAATTAAACTAAATATTAAGCTTATTGCACTGTACTCTCTCTATCATGGAAATCTTGTCACTGGAACATAATGTAATATATACACTGTAGCTGACAGCACATGGGAATCCATAACTTGCTCATTTTTTATTGTATAAATGTGTTTTGTGTTGCTGATCATGTATGCCAATAATGACCAAAAACCTGCACTTAGAAGAGGAACCTCATGATGATATTTCAGTTTGTTCTGAACCATCATCAAATCAGTTGTGGCTTGACAATGGTTCGTTTGGACTGGAATGTCATCCTAAGCTTCCTCTTGTAAGTGTGGGTTTTCAGTGAACTCTTCCAGCCACTGTAATGACACTTTAAATTCTATGTTTGCAGAGTCAATCATGCAACAGTATCGTTGTCATTTTATTGGTATTTTTTTTTATATGTACAGTATAGCTACAACTCGATTATTATTTACAAATGTAAGAGGAGTCATTATATTTATACACATTAGAATACATAATATACTTAATACTAATATTTTTAATATTTATACTAAGATTTTAGTTTATAGTATGACAAAAAGAAATATTTTCCTTATTTAAAATGAATATCAATTAAAAATTATTTTGCATTATAAATTAACTCTTTTTTTTTTTTTCATTATTACTTACTTTTAAAAATATAAATTATGTTTAACTGTCTGTGGCAAAATAAATAAAACATCTGATCTTGTCACTAGTGTCTTCAGCCTTGAGTTCTGAACAGTAGTTAAGACTGCTGTAAAGTTCTGTTGGGAATCCTTTATGGGGATACCTTAAAATGGCTGATGTAATTTGACAGAGAAACAAAGCTTTTGTTTTCGCTCTATAACCATCATATTGAACAGGGTGGCAGCACACTTCGTGTATCCAATTTTGCTAAAAGAGGACAAACCTCAGGGTTTGAGTGGTGAGGGTTGGAGTAGGTGCTTCTTCCCAGCACCGGGTGCCACTCTTCCCAGGACTGGGTGCCACTCTTCCCAGGACTGGGTGCCACTTTCCAGCACCGGGTGCCACTCTTCCCAGGACTGGGTGCCACTCTTCCCAGGACTAGGTGTCACCCTTCCCAACACTGGAGGGCACTCTTCCCATAGGATGCTTGTCAAAGAACCCAGCATTTCATTGAAATTTGCTGACACAGCCAATGACACTATGAATATGAACAATGGAAAATGAAAAATTGACTCTGAATAGTTTTACTTGCTTTGTGATTACGATATCACCGATATATACTTTAAAACTGATAATGTTAGATACATAATATTCTTAAAACACTGAATAACCAAACGGTTCTAGTGCTTAATAAATAATACAAAAACAAACTATTATGGATTAATTACATGATGACAAACACGATTGAGCACGTTTTTCTTCGTTCTTGCTTGACATAAATGCCTGCAATTATTCTTGTGGGACAGTAGGGGAAAAGGTTGTAGTCCCAACAGATGGAATATAAGTCCAGAGGACTCCTGTCAGAGATGTAAATAAAGGGTGGAGGGCACGACTATAGCTCAACTCATCCTGAAGCTTTGAGGAAGGCATAATAGGTTAGGGACACTCATGATGGACTTGGGCATATAGTCGGCTCCATCCAGGAGAAGAGGTAATGATAGGTGATGATGTCCAATCAGCAAAGTGACTAATAGAGATCTGTGCTAACAGATTGGAACCAGGGATAAGAAAGAAAATGTTCTGCTGTATCTATTTTGCCAAGACACCTCCTACAGGCAGGGAAGGCAGTAATGTGGAAATTGTGAATGCGAGTCTGGGGTGGCCCACACAAAGGTATTTCAGGGCCACGTCAAGTAAGTGCCCAGGAGGCATGCCACACCCAAAGACATGGACCTTTCAAAGGACAGAATGGAATGCAATGTAAAGGAGCAAAGGGAGATGGCCAGGCTACTCTGTCACTGGCAGTGGATCTCCCCCCAATACTCCCTTCGATGCAAGCTCCCCCTGGTCATGAGGAAGAGGAGTGACAGCTTGGCCAAGGATGCAGCTCGGTCCACAACCCTACTACAGCGGATGCCAACATAAGAAAGGTTCCATCACAGATTGATGCTCTGCCCTTGGTAACCAAAGAGAGATGTAAGTAGGAGCTGTGCTCAGCTGGGGATTCATTAGATAACAACAATGGGGGCGTTGACCCCCGGAACTCTCTCCAGGTCTCCAGGTAATGGTAGTCTCTCCTCAAAACTGATGGACTGATAACCTCATTCTCCTCCTTATCATCCATCGTTCTTCTCTGTTTTGGACTGAAGAAGCCACTGGCAGGCAAAACATTTCCTCAGTAGATTCTCAAATATTGCACAAATGTCTCATTCTTCAACTTGTTTTTTTAAACCATTACATCACATGGCTGAACGCTCAAATCTTTATGTAAGGTGTGAGGAGGGTTGCATCTCTCACCTTAAGATCTAGCTAGCCTACTTCCACACAGTTCATAACTTCACTGTGTAGTCAACCTTTACAGCATTCTTCTCCCCCTACTAAAGTATACAAGTGTTTTCTTTACACATGTTGTTCATCTGTTGCAACAACTAATTGCTCTGCCAGGTCTAAAGAGAAAAATGTTGCATTATTGAGCTGCTGCTGCTGCTTTTTTTCTCCCATAGTCATTCAGTAATGAGTGACCCTTGTGGGTTTAGAGTTCGTCGTAAGTAATAAATCAAGAAAAAATGGAAACATATGGTACAGGTCGGCCATCACTAATCCGGCAATCAGTTCCATCAGTAATCCGGCACTAATTTTGGCAAGCACAATTTCAAATTTCATCATTATACTGACTCAAATTTCTTCATTATACTGACTCAGAAGTTGTGCAGATGGTTGTAAATCCACAGCAGCAAACCATTGGAGGAGAAAGCAGTGATGAAAATGAGGAAGATGAAGCAGAAAGTCTCTCTACTGATAGGTTAATTAAGTGTGTTCTAACCTAACTGTGTAATCTGGCAAACTCGCTAATCTGGCAAACTACAGGTCCCAATGATGCCGGATTAGTGATGACTGACCTGAACTAATTGTGCAGCTGTTTTTATTAGTAATCAAACTGAAATTAAAGCAAAGATAATGAAATCCTCTAAAAGAACTGCTTGGTAATCAAATAGCATAAAACCATTTCATTAACTGCCTGAACCTCGCAGTGAGAGACAGTTGTATAAACTGTCTACCACGAGCTGGGTGCATCTGTATGAACTTCACAATGAGAGACAGCTGTATAAATTGTCTACCACGAGCTAGGTGCCTCATGTCATCACTTCTTAGATTATGAATCTCCCATGATAAACTTAGTGAGTTGGTATATAAAATATATATCAAATTTTTAACTCCTTTCTTACCCCACTGAAGACCAATGAGCATCAGATAACCGGATAAAATTTTCATAGTGTGTATACAGTAATATATTAATTTTCACACTAATCTATATTTATCGTGTAAATTATTTAGACTTTATGTAGGCTCACGTAACTTGGGTAATGTTGCATATTAACTCTATCAGTATTAATATTTGTCAGAATTTTTTCAGTGTAGGGTATATAAATACAGTGGACCCCCGCATAGCGAACTTAATCCGTGCAAGAGGGCTGGTCGTTATGCGAAATGTTCGCTATGCGAATTAATTTTCCCCATAAGAAATAATGGAAATAAAATTAATCCGTGCAAGACACCCAAAAGTATGAAAAAAAATTTTTTTTACCACAAAAAAATGTTAATTTTAGTACACACAAACTGAAAAAGGCATGCACAATTACATGACACTTACTTTTATTGAAGATCTGGTGATGATTGATGGGATGGGAGGAGGGGAGAGAGAGTGTTAGTGTTTAGAAGGGGAATCCCCTTCCATTAGGACTTGAGGTAGCAAGTCCTTTTCCGGGGTTACTTCCCTTCTTCTTTTAATGCCACTAGGACCAGCTTGAGAGTCACTGGACCTCTGTCGCACAACAAATCTGTCCATAGAGCTCTGTACCTCCCGTTCCTTTACGATTTGTCTAAAATGGGCCACAACATTGTCATTGAAATAGTCACCAGCACGGCTTGCAACAGCTGTGTCAGGGTGATTTTCATCCATAAAGGTTTGCAGTTCAACCCACTGTGCACACTATTTCCTTAATTTTTGAAGTAGGCACAATGGATTCCACAACTGGCATAGGCTTCTCAGGGTTAGCCCCAAACCCTTCAAAATCTTTCTTAATTTCCATACTAATTCTCACCCTTTTTTACCACAGGGTTGGCACTAGAAGCTTTCTTGGGGCCCATGGTCACTTATTTTCCAGAAACAGCACCGAAAACACTGTAATAATACGAAATATTCCGAGTGTATGCTTGAATGTTACCGCGGAGGCTGGCTGGTAAACAATGGGACGGGCGGCACATGTGAGGCTGGCTGAGGCCGCACATTGGACGCGTCTCGGACGAAGGTCGCTGAGCGGGTTTTTGTCCACTATGCGGGGCAAAATTTTAGCGAACAAAGCGTTCGCTATGCGGATTGTTCGCTATGCAAGGCGTTCGCTATGCGGGGGTCCACTGTATAAGCAGAATTCTTTTAGTAATAATACTAGGTAAGAAAATAAATCTGGTTAGTTGACACCTAACTTTTAAAGATGTAGTCTAAGCACACGTACTGTGCTATAAACAGATTTATTTTTAAGAATGAAATAAAGTTGAATTGTAAAAGATGTAATGAGGTTTCATTAGGTTTCCTGGAGTCCATAATCTGGGAGTTATTTGGGCAGTCTTGAGAAACACAGCACACAAGATTTGGGTTGATGTGATGGTTTTGTTATTCTCTTATTGTGGATCATGCGTTATAACTTGATGAGACTTGTTTCACTTTATAAGAACACAAGGATGGCACTCCCCAGGTCTGAGGAAGGCTGGGTGGCAGCGCGGGCACTCTGGGTTAAGTTGCAGTTCTTCCATCCTCTCCTCTGGGGGTGCTGGGAACACCATAGTCATGTGGAACCCACCATCTCCATCATGGTGGTGGTGCTCGCTGGTGTCTTGGTGCTTTAGCTCTTCGTCTAAGCTGTTTTGGTCCACTTGAGATAAGTCTGGCCCAGGAAGTGAGAGTTCATTTGTAGGGATGAAGAAATCACGGTTACCCCTAGAGGAAGAGAACTGAACATGGGGCGCCTCGGGTATAGTCTGTTCAAATACACGGACACGTGAGTTTCTGACTGGAGTGAACAAAGGAGTGGGGAATTCCTGTTTAATAACATTTCTGATGGGGCTAGCAGAGAGGTTAGCAGGAGAAAGGAATGGTACGGGGTCCAGGGAGACGGGATGAAGAGATGGAGGCTGCAGGAAGTCAGTGGGAACTTGTAACCTTTGATGATTCGCTGGAAACCGAGGTTCAAAGGAATTTCGAGGAGTGCTAGATACCAAAGGTGGAGCAAGTTCTGAAGACAAGGAGTGCTGTGTGACTTGATCAGTCAGGGTGGCATTTGGAAAGTGTGACACGAGAGTGACTTCTGAGGATGTGTTTGGGATGGTTCGTGTCTTGCTAGCAGGGCGCACTACTAGTGGTCTGAGGGCAATATTCTTAACGTCTACAGGCTTAAGTGAAGGTTCTTCACCATTACTACTAAATGTAAACCTTCTGCCTGGTCTTCGGGCAACTCTGCCGGGCACCATAGTGAATGAGGGGTCAGAGCGGGGAGTCTGGCTATTTGTCGTTTCAATTTCTGGTTCAGTTGTATCTCTCGTGGGAGCAGACCAAGTATTGGTAGTATCTACAAGGGTGGAAGTGTCGGTGCTGCTTGTGATAGCACTGAAAGCTCTTACAGCAGCTCCAAAACGTTGTGTAATATTTGAATTTCTAGAGGGTCTCAGTAGCCCACCATGTTGTGAGCTTGTATGACGTAGGTTTGGTAGTGACAAGTGCAATGGTGGAATGATGGACTGCAGAGGGCTATTGTCACTAGTAGTGGGCAGTGTGAGAAAATTAAACGGCACAGTTAATGGCTTGAGCAGGCCAGTGAAGGAAATGGGTGGTGTAATGGGTTGTGCCGTAGGAGGTATGACTGGTTGTGTTGTGGGTGGTGCAATGGGCTTTGTTATAGGTGGTAGGGTGGGAGAATGCCATGGCTGGGATAAGCCTACTTGAGAATCCTTGATGGTGACTGACTCGGTGATGGCTGTGGTGACGGTGTTCGTTGTGGTGAAGGGTAGGGTAAATATATTTGTTGGGATGAAGCGATCTGTGGGTATATTCCTTAGTATAAAGGGTTGTGTGGGTGTACTCGTTGGGATTAAGGGTTGTGTGGGTTTACTCGCTGGGGTTAAGGGTTGTGTGGGTATACTTGTTGGGGCAAAGGGTGGTGTGATGCGTCTGGTAGGGGTGAGAGTCAGGGAAGAAGCCTGTTGTTGTGGAGAATCTGATCTGGAGGACTTGAAGGTGGAGGCGAGGGAAGAGGTCTTTACATCCTTAGTGGAGGTGTGTCCGGTATCATGACCTGCCTCGGTGCTCACCTGGAGGCTGTTCACCGCAGGGTTTCCACTGCCTCCTGTCAATACACCAATATTGAATATAAGCAACAAGGACTTGTTTACACATGATAAAAGATAATAAAGATAAATTATAAAAATTGTCATATATATTATATATATAAAATATATATATATATATATATATATATATATATATATATATATATATATTTATTTATATATATATATTTTTTTTTTCAACAAGTTGGCCGTCTCCCACCGAGGCAGGGTGACCCAAAAAAGAAAGAAAATCCCCAAAAAGAAAATGCTTTCATCATCATTCAACACTTTCACCACACTCACACATAATCACTGTTTTTGCAGAGGTGCTCAGAATACAACAGTTTAGAAGCATATACGTATAAAGATACACAATATATCCCTCCAAACTGCCAATATCCCAAACCCCTCCTTTAAAGTACAGGCATTGTACTTCCCATTTCCAGGACTCAAGTCCGACTATATGAAAATAACCGGTTTCCCTGAATCCCTTCACTAAATATTACCCTGCTCACACTCCAACAGATTGTCAGGTCCCAAGTACCATTCGTCTCCATTCACTCCTATCTAACACGCTCACACATGCTTGCTGGAAGTCCAAGCCCCTTGCCCACAAAACGCCCTTTACCCCCTCCAACCCTTTCGAGGATGACCCCTACCTCGCCTTCCTTCCCCCATAGATTTATATGCTTTCCATGTCATTCTACTTTGATCCATTCTCTCTAAATGACCAAACCACCTCAACAACCCCTCTTCTGCCCTCTGACTAATACTTTTATTAACTCCACACCTTTTCCTAATTTCCACACTCCGAATTTTCTGCATAATATTTACACCACACATTGCCCTTAGACAGGACATCTCCACTGCCTCCAACCGTCTCTTCGCTGCTGCATTTACCACCCAAGCTTCACACCCATATAAGAGTGTTGGTACTTCTATACTTTCATACATTCCCTTCTTTGCCTCCATAGATAACATTTCTTGACTCCACATATACCTCAATGCACCACTCACCTTTTTTCCCTCATCAATTCTATGATTAACCTCATCCTTCATAAATCCATCCGCCGACATGTCAACTCCCAAGTATCTGAAAACATTTACTTCTTCATACTCCTCTCCCCCAATTTGATATCCAATTTTTCTTTATCTAAATCATTTGATACCCTCATCACCTTACTCTTTTCTATGTTCACTTTCAACTTTCTACCTTTACACACATTCCCAAACTCATCCACTAACCTTTGTAATTTTTCTTTAGAATCTCCCATAAGCACAGTATCATCAGCAAAAAGTAACTGTGTTAATTCCCATTTTGAATTTGATTCCCCACAATTTAATCCCACCCTCTCCTGAACACCCTAGCATTTACTTCTTTTACAACCCATCTATAAATATATTAAACAACCATGGTGACATTACACATCCCTGTCTAAGACCTACTTTTACCGGGAAGTAGTCTCCCTCTCTTCTACACACCCTAACCTGAGCCTCACTATCCTCATAAAAACTCTTTACAGCATTTAGTAACTTACCACCTATTCCATATACTTGCAACATCTGCCACATTGCTCCCCTATCCACTCTATCATATGCCTTTTCTAAATCCATAAATGCAATAAAAACTTCCCTACCTTTATCTAAATACTGTTCACATATATGCTTCAATGTAAACACTTGATCTACACATCCCCTACCACTCTGAAACCTCCTTGCTCATCCGCAATCCTACATTCTGTCTTACCCCTAATTCTTTCAATTATAACCCTACCATACACTTTCCTGGTATACTCAATAACTTATTCCTCTATAATTTTTACCCAAACTCTTCTGTCCCCTTTCCCTTTATATAAAGGGACTATACATGCTCTCCGCCAATCCCTAGGTACCTTCCCTCTTTCATACATTTATTAAACATAAGTACCAACCACTCCAACACTATATCCCCCCTGCTTTTAACATTTCTGTCATGATCCCATCAGTTCCAGCTGCTTACCCCCCTTTCATTCTACGTAATGCCTCACGTACCTCCCCACACTTACATTCTGCTCTTCTTCACTCCTAAAAGATGATATTTCCTCCCTGACCAGTGCATGAAATTACCACCTTCCTTTCTTCCTCAACATTTAAAAGTTCCTCAAAATATTCTCGCCATCTACCTAATACCTCCCTCTCCCCCTCTACTAATCCCCTACTCTGTTTTTAATTGACAACTCCATACTTTCCCTAGGCTTTCTTAACTTGTTTAACTCACTCCCAAAATTTTTTCTTATTTTCATTAAAATTTCTTGACAGTGCCTCTCCCACTCTATCATCTGCTCTCCTTTTGCACTCTCTCACCACTCTCTTCACCTTTCTTTTACTGTCCATATACGTACTCTGCTTTTCTTCTAACACTTCTGCTTTGTAAAAACCTCTCATAAGCTAACTTTTCTCTTTTATCACACCCTTTACTTCATCATTCCACCAATCACTCCTCTTTCCACCTGCCCCCACCCTCCTATAACCACAAACTTCTGCCCCACATTCTAATACTGCATTTTTAAAACTATTCCAACCCTCTTCAAGCCCCCCACTACTCATCTTTGCACTAGCCCACCTTTCTGCCAACAGTCGCTTATATCTCCCCGAACTTCCCTCCCTTAGTTTGTACACTTTCACCTCCCTCTTGTGTTTGCCACCTTCCTCTTTTCCCATCTACTGTTACTCTAACTGTAGCTACAACTAAAAAAATGATCCGATATATCAGCTACCCCTCTATAAAATGTAACCCGGAGCCCACCCATCAAACCCTTTTTTCCACCAATAAATAATTTAAAAAATACT